TAACAAGGGCACACGAAAGGGGGTGGGGAGAGGGGGAGTTCAGGTAGGCGCTCAGCTCTCCGCGTGGTGGAATCGGCCACGTAGGTAGGAAGTCGAGCAACAAATGGGTAGGTGGCTGCTGACTGCCTCTCTCGACTCCGTGGCTGGCTTTCGACCTCGTCGACCGCCACGATTAATACTTCCATCGTGCATTGTTCCTCGTCACGTAAATCTCCAACGCCGGCGAGATAAGGCTCCACGGAAACCATTTATAAGACCGATTTATATCATTACCAACGGGCGCACCAGCGCGCGACTGCTCCGCAAATATTCTCGCGTCAGCTGATCGTCTTACTCATTTCCTCTTCTCGTAACCCGCCCGCGGGATAAATGGCGCGACCCGAGCCACCGACCGAAACGACATCGCGAAACAGTTATAGTTGTTCTCCACCTTCCCCATTCCCCCCTACCCTTTCCTGATTCGCGCAGATGTTGAGATTTATGCACACACCGAGAAACAAGAAGATGTACCAAAGCGTGACGATCGAACAGAGGTCGATCGTTCGAGAGGTTTCGTCTTGCGCGACCTGAAAGATTCGCGCGCATCGACTTGTGCTTTTGATATAATTCTTCCTCTTCTTCTTTTTTTTTTGTTTCAACGTGTCTAATTAATTCCGCTTCCGATCTCTCGATAGAGAAAGTTGATTAACAACGAGCGTGGCCGCCGAATGACGTTAGGTGCAACCGGTCGGTGTACGTTGCATTTTTTATAATCTACATACGATTATTCAGTCTATAATTTCGATATATGGGTCAATGTCTTGGGTCGGGCAATAAAGTATCAATCGTACTTTATCTCGTTCCAATCGCAGCGCGGACGTTCCACTTTTGGTAGATTAATTCTTTCCTCCCACCCTTTTCTTTTTCTTTAAATCCCTCTCTCTCTCTTTCTCTCTGTCTCTCTCTCTCTCTCTCGCCGCTTATCTTGTTTTGTTTTGTTGTCATCTCGCGTGTCTCATTTCTTACGATCTACATATGGTTTTACGGGTCAATGGTGCGCGGACCGCAATAAAGTATCAATCATACCGCCTCATCTCTCAAGACCAACCCGCTCCGGAGATGCTGAGCGCCGCATGGTGCCCAGGTGTGTTCCGCCTCGCGAATATGAAGAGTGCCAGCAGCCTGGTGACACACTTCCCCAATTCTCGCATTGTTCTTCATCCGCGTGCACGTACGAAATAAATCTGCGAGGGGGAGTTGGGAGAGAGAGAGAGGGAGTGAAGAAGTGAGGGAGGCAAGAAAGGGGCGAATCCGCTCCGGCTGGCCTCGTGACCGGCTCGTAATTGCGATTGCTTTTCGTGGGAGGCCCGGTGGGTAATTGATAATTAAGCGCCGTGCTCTCCTTGCCCTCCAGCGGGGAAGGGGTTGAGAGCGGCGAGGGAGCTGGGGGAAGGAGGGACGGAAGACCGAATGTAACGACGCCGTTTGGGACCGGTATGTACCGGATGCGCCTCGACGGTCGGTTTATTCTTGTTTTAATTTACTGTTGTTTTAATTTACTGTTGTAAGTGTTTTACGCACTGAGTCTCTCCTTCTCTCTATCTTTTTTTTGGTTGTTTTTAATTTTCCATCAAATCTCGTACGATACGAACACGTGAAAGTAATTGAGTAATTATAAAAAAAAAAGACGGGAGATTGATTGCATTTCCATCTGGCGCGAGTAAATTACAACAGTTTATAAACGAGGTTGATGTGTATATATATCGTTAAATTCGTATAATATCAAGATCAATTAGAGCGAATTAAGAAATTGATGAATACTCTCTCTTTCTGGAATGTCTTAATTTCTTCATTTTCATCCACTCTCTCTCTCTCTCTTTCTCCGCTTCTCGATTGATCGTCGTCGGTTCTCTCGCGAAACGAAAGTTTCTTTCTATAAAAAAACAAAAAAAAAAAAAAAAACTCATTTTCACGAGTCGTTACGCTCGCGGAATGCCGGCGAATTCGGTCTCCGATAACGAAGTTTTCGAATCGGCATTGAAATTCCACTGTCGGTCGGTCGCTTATCTCAATTCCTCGGGTGCGCACATGTGTGCAAACACACAAATGCCGCGCGCCTAACCGAACATTTCTCGGTTGCTATCGCGCATGATGTAGCGCTCACACCTTGTTTTCCTGAGGAGAGATGCGGCAATAAATCGTTCTCGTATAACAAAAGGAGGTGAAATGGCGCGGTAGATTTCGCGAAGGTGATATTTACTTTAAACATTCGCGAGAAAAGACAAATAAAACGTTGAGCCGAACCAACACTAGAGTTAAAAACCTGTCATTTACGCGCGTGCGTGCGTGCGTGCGTGCGTGCGTGCGTTTGAAAAGCAACAGAAATAATAAATAAATAATTCGCAACAACTGAAAAGTTGCGCGGCAATTAAAACTCGCCTTTCAACCATATGCGCGCGTGTGTAGCCGTAGGCTCGATCTTTCCCATAACATCTCGGCTAGCATGCGCACAGCGCGCGCGATTCAGAGTGTTACAGCGATAATTCAGTTTATTGCCTTACCTTCGCTCCCTTCACCCTTCTGGGAGGCTGCGCGCGTCGCTCGTTACGTCAACCATAAGTTACTATCTTTACTATATTTCTCTTTCTCCATCTCTCTCTCTATCTTTTTCTCTCAAGGGGGGTGAACCCGGTAGGAACCCTGTCTCTCTCTCTCTCTCTCTCTCTTGTTGTAAAACTACGAGTAATAACACTGTAACTCATTGTCAGCGACCGGGCAATAACGCGACGTCCCGCGGCGTCGTTCGGTTGCGGACCGGTGTCGCTTTCGTGGAAACGTGCATTGTCGCGCGCGAGGGAAAAGATACGTCTCGAGATACGCCGATCCGTGCCTCTATAATTTGATTCACACCGCTAAGAGGGTTGTAACCGGCGCAACAGTTGGTTGCGCGCGGGCAATTCACGGGTATAGTGTATTTCTCTAGCGAAGCTTCCAATAAATAAGCGGGAATATCCTTCTTGATGGTTTGTTTTTGTTTTGTTTTTGTTTTTTTTTTTTTTTTTCTAACGTGAATCACGACGCTCTGAAAGTTAATTTTGGATGTGCATCCGGAGAAATATACCGCCGATTCCTCGGAATGTCGAATATATACGCGCAGTTTGCTAATATCGGGGAAACATTATTAACCCGACAATATTGGCGCTATTCGTAAGGGCGAATAGCTGAAGGGATCGTTATCCGCCGCGCGAGCACGGATAAGAAACATAACTTCGTCGCGCCGGGGCGATCGTTGCTTTTATCCGGTAAGATCGCGTAGGTGTTAAAGCGCGCGGTTCTCGCCCACTTGAATCGATTCCGAATGGACAGCAACGGTCGTTTCGTCCTATCGGGTGTTCTGTTAACTGTCGCGTCGTTAAGAAAGGACCGCCAGTCCGAAAATTATAGTCTCCGCGAGCGTATTTTTATACACGCACACACTCGGCCTTAATAGCCCTCGAAATTTTTTTTTACCCGCATGTCACGATGAATCGCTTCGATTATCCTCTCGAGCTTCAATTGATGTTAACATAATTATTAATATTAATGAATCTATATGTGTGATATATTAATATAAATAAGTCACAACGTAAATATGTGAAAAAAAAATGATTTATATTTATAAAACCATAAATACGCGAAATTCTCGCACAATTGAGTTTCTCTATTTGTCGGATTGTGTTATTATTTATTTATTTATTTTTTTTTTGACAAATGTAACTGCTTCAAATTAATTACCGCGCAAAAGAAATTCGTTAATCTCACGCAAATTTATGCAAATTGATACGCTCAATTTTCACGAAATTACGCGACACGCAAAGTGCATTAAAAGACATTAAACTTTTAATCGAGACAGACGCTTTGCATTATTTCATAACTGGACGAATCACGTCGGCGGTGCGTTGTGCAACGTTGTCGCCGCCGTTGATGCACTTACGTGACACGTGTGAACGCAATTCCGGCATCGCGCGCGCGCGTTCAATTGCCTCGAATACAATCGATCAATAAATATTTATGAGCGGCTCGAGCTTGTCTCGGAGACGAGACGACAGATGCACGCCTGCCCGACAATGTTCTATGCCAATGACGTCTATCCGTCGAGGTTACGCGACGGATTCGGTAACCGTTTAAAGTAATGAACAATCCAGAGAGTTTTTTGTAGACTCTAAAAAAAAAAAAAAACAACAAAAACAAAAAAACACGAGACATGAAGAAGCGACGAAGAACTCGGGGACAAATCAGAAATTCTGAAAATCGAATCGGTGACAGAAATTTTTATTTTGGTAAGCGAGTCTTTTGGCGAGATTTAATTAAGTGTAATATTTTCTTTCTTTCTTTCTTTCTTTTTTTTTTTTTTTTATATCGCGAGCTCTGTCCACAAGTCTTGAAACATTAAAACATTGCGTTGTGGGCAGCGTGAAAGGCGCATATTCCTCGTGCTCGCTGTTGTGTCGGAGTTTCCTGCGGCGTTTATTTACGAGCGCGTTACACGCAATGTTAATTCGACAGATTTGACCGTAAATAACGTCCGTAAATACGCGCGCACGGACCAAGTATATGTTTATCTCGGTCTATAAAATTCAGCCTCGCGCGCCCGATGGCGCGGTGGTTTTAAGTGATGGCTTAAAATTTACGGATGCGAGTTGAGTAATCAGCGCGCGCGTTTAGCGTTTTCGTCTGACGATTTTTTTTTTTCCTCCAGTCACTGAAGACAATCTTATGCATCCCGTGCGCAAACGGACACATCCGAGATGAAGTTGCAAGCTAAAGATATTCGACAAAAAATTTAGCCTGTTTTTTTTTTTTTTTTTTTTTATGTCTGAAGCGGAGAAATTAAAACTCCACGATCGATTTGTGTTCGCCGAACGGCGGCGTGCACGCCCGACATCTCGTAATAGATCCGAATAGAGATGCGTCGAGTTTAAATCCGTTTCTTCGAATCTTGATTGTCATAGTGACCGGTCGTGTTCCGTTGATTGTTTCAGGAGAACGGCTGCATGTACTCGCACATAAGATGGGGCGAGGCCTTCGTCATCGTCTACAGCGTGACATGTAAGAAGAGCTTTCAGGAAGCCCGTAGACTTCTCAAGCAACTCGCGGATTTACGCCTGCCATCCTACTTCACTACCCTGCTGCTCGGCAACAAGCGAGATCTAGATCACGCCCGGTAAGCGTAAATCACATTGTTACAAATATATGATTAACGGTCTCGTAAGAGGCGGGCGTGTGTAAGTACGTACCACGCGTACGATCAACGTTCGATGATGATCTCCGGCGCGCTGATGTGTGTGTACGACCGGAATAGGATAAATCGCGCGTACACGCTTATTTTCCAACGATACGGTGCAAAATCGACGACGATTGTTAACTTAAATCAGTGCGGTGCACAAATGTTTTGCTTTTTTTTTCTCTCTCGCTACTTTACTCGACACGCGTAAAAATCTCTTTCGCCGCATCCGTAAATTCCGTTTGCCATTTGATTGCGTAATAGGAGCAAGTATATTTTTCTTCGTCGTTCTAATCTCTGATTTATTGATAACAATTGGCAGCATTCTCAATTCTCTTGACGTTAGTTACGTTTCCAATCGCTCGTTGTATTTTCGTTCCGATAAAAAAAAAAAAAAAGAAAAAAAAATCATGCTTATTCACAAGCAATGTTGTGTTTATGCGTGGCCCATTTTTATTCGTTGGCCTCGCAAGACTGGCACACTTCGCCGAGTGGTGTTTTAAAGGGGTTCTCACACACGATCAAACGTCGCCGCGTTTTTTTTAATACAACAGTAATTAATCAAAGTTTTCAATAAAAATCGAGAATCGCGCATCTTCCTGAAATTTAATATCGATTTTTTGCAAAAAAAAATATTTGTTTGAAAAAGAACGATATATTCTCTTCGATCGAACGTCGAGGAGCGTCTCTCATCGATGAGAGGAATCTGTTGCAGAAATTAAGATCGCCGATTGCGGGAACTTAATTTCGCGCTAAATGTGCGTCATCACCGCGCGGCGCGTTAAATCTCATTTACAGAATTGAGATTTATCGGACCGCGGAGCTCATTCGACGGCACACGATACGGATCGTATGAGGGCCGCTTAAGTGTCTCGCTCGGCGCAAGAATTACAATATCATTCGCGTCGCGCGATCTCCGATCGCCGACTTCGTGTATCGCCGTCGGCGAATCGTCGATTATTCTCGATCGTTCCTCTTTTTTTCTCCCTCCCGTTCCTTCCTCTCTCTCTCTCTCTCTCCGACAACGACGACGCCGTTTATCCCGTCGATCGCACACGCGTGATTTGCCGCGCGCGTGTGTATATATCTGTCCGGCCTATTAATCCCGGCAGTTCACTTTCCACCTGCGAGTAACAGGATCTTCGCCGATATATTTCCTAGACGAGGTGAGATTTCGCGTGCGCCACGCGATTCGCGTTTTTCCAGACGGCACCTCCGCACGCGGCGCTCGGACGTTTTATTGGATTGTTTCCAGCGGTTTTGTTGCCCTCCCTTCCACGCGCTCGCTATTGCGTATAGCGCAATAGTAGAGTATACGTTGGCGACTGCCTACTCGCTCGAGAGGAAATCACGGGGGGACTTCGGATCCTTTATCCGCTCAAGTTGCAATTTTGCACGGAGTAGATATCCGATTGCGTAAAAATTCTCACGCAGGTTCGAACGATCTGAAAATAATTTTTTTTTTACAAAATCAGATCAATTCAACTCGCAATTTTTCTTACGCGTTTGTATTTAACATCCTTGTAGTCTGTTGGAATTTATTTCACAGAGCGTCCTGAACTACTCTTCACACGCCGTGATTTTTATTTCGAGCTTTGGTTTTGTGCGCGCGCAAGTTTTTTGCCAACGCCGCGCACGTTTTCGCGCAAAAAACCAGTTCAATGAACCAAATGTTCAGCCGGTCACCAGCGCGGTGACGGAGTAAGTTAATCGGTCGGCCGGGTACGTCAACTTCGGAGAACGATTCATCCAAGTCGGTCAGGCGACTTTGACGCTGGCGTAAACAGATCTGGCGTGGTAAGAGAGAAAAAAAAAAAGTCGCGATGAATGGTTTCTAGACGAGCGCGGTGACCACCTCGACCACTACCGGGTCTTTTCGAATCGGCGGCACCCGATGCCGATACTGCGGTTTGCGTTCGGTGACGTGTGTGTGTGTGTGTGTGTGTGTGTGTGTGTGTATGCCACGTGTCGCGTTTCACATCGCGTCGCGGCGTCGAGAATCCGGCGCCGGTTCGACACACAAACGTGCGCTGCACGCGCACATTTTATAAAACCGCACATATGCAATTTCTCGCGCGCGTTCTCCTCGCGCGAGACACACTTTTCCATCGCGCGAAACGTGTGTAAAATTCAACGCGCGTCGTGATGAAAAAAAATGTGTGTCCGGCTTGAAAGACGCGCCGATACGCGCAGGTGTGGCTCGCGTGTTGCGAGTCTCTTAGATACGTCGATACGTCTTTGGTCGCATTTTTACGCAACCGGCATCTCAAAGTGCATCATCGCGTCGCGTGATTCGGTCGGGAGAAAGCTAGGAAATACTAGCGCGCGGTTTTATTTTGTAAGTCGAACGTGTAAAGAGTGGCGGTTATAAACTAATTAACCTTCGATCGACGCGCGGCTGGTTTTCGCGTGTGTGAAAGACGAGAAATGTGCGTGGCGCGCGAAGAGTCGCGCGAATATACAAACAATCGATACAACTCTCGAACTTACACTCGAGACTTTTCGAGACTTCGGGACGCGTCGACGTATCTCGCAAAGCCGCGAGATTTTAAACATCGTTTTTTTTTTTTTTTTTTTTTTTTTTAAGAGAGAGAGAGAAGAAAAAAGACAACGTCCGATATTGTATTTCGCGCGTTGGGACGTCGAAAATCGCGTCTCGATCAATTCCAGTCGCCGCGAAAAGCACGTAGGTAGAACAGGACTTCGGTCGGTATTTCTTCTTCACATTGGACGGCGCGGAATTTCCCTCGCGGATTCCCGCAAGAATGCGGATCGTCGTTAACGAAGACACGCTCCTTTTCTCGCCTTACGACGCCACCTTCCCCACATCCTTACACCTCCTTTATGGTGCTTTGCATACCGAGAGAAATCTCACTGATGATCTAGTAACGACGGCAACGCCGCAATTACGATGCTACTATGCAAGATTACTCGAAAAGGCGCGCAGTCGTCAGGGATTTTATCTACGACAGAATTCCACGAGTAGCTCTCGCGCGTGCGAGAGAGAGAAAGAGCGAGAGAGAGAGAGAAAGGGAGAAAGAAAGAAAGAATCTCGTCTCTTCCAAACGCAACACACACAACACCGGAATATTTCCGGTTTTCAAATGGAACATACGTATACGAGACAATCTATACACAGCCAGTGTTTCGGCAATCGCGAATTTTTCTCCGTCCTAAAAAAACGTTAAATGTCACGCGTTTCCAAGAGAAGAGGGGGCGGATTATAGATCGTGACAATCGCAATAGAATTTGACAAAGGACACACACACACACACACAGGTTCGGTATTTCAACCTTTCAACCTCCGGCAAGTCAACCTTTCGAAAACAACGGGAATGACGAAGCTAAGCGAGTTTTTTGCGGAGTGCGCGCGCGCAATGATCGAGGTAAAATAAAATGTCGCGGAATCGTTGGCAATTTCGTGACGAGTTTAATAACAAAAGACGGGGGGGAGTTCGCGCCGCCTCTCTCCGATAGCCACGAGCGAAATATCAAAAATGTCATACGAATAAAATGTCACACTCGCGAGGGGCGAGCGAGGGATTGGTCATTGATCGCGCGGCGACAGGGACGGTGTGTGCTCGCGACGGAGAAAAGAGCAATTCGATTTACGTAACTGGCATTTTGATGGCGTGCAAGAGATACACGCGCTCTTCGCAACTGTCACGATTATCGTTGAGAAATTTAATTAAACCGGAATTATTCTCTCGAGAGATCCATCGATCTGTGAGTCATAAATTACAGTCGCGCGCGCATGCCTTTCCTTGCGTGTCGCGCTTGCCGATGTGGGGAAACGATCAGTTTTAAATTAATGGATGCCGCGCGCGCGCAGACATTCTATTTTTACGCGCGATTACGAAACCTCTGACAAGTCCCAACGGTTCAAGTCCAAATATGATTCAACCTTCAAGATGTCGCACAAAATTAACATACAAAGACGACGAATGTGTGATTCTCTTTTTTTTGTTACAATATTTTGTGTTCGTTTGTGTTCGGCTTGAGAACAGCAGCCTTGTGAGCCGCTGCTGTCTTTTTTATTGTTATCCGAGGGATAAAAAAATTAAAATAATTTCTTTAATAACGCGATCAGAGATTGGAGCTCTCTCGAAAGGCGGGAACGTGCACGAAAACAGGACGAAGTCGCGGGCAGGGTCGATCCGCGTGACGAGAGGCTATCGCGCGCTTCTCTTACATCCAGTAGCCACGCTCGTCGTCTTAATGGAGTTCATAAAGATTAGAGCGAAGTCCGCTGCAGGGCTGGTGAAACCACTCTCTCGAGAACGAGTTTTCGCCGCTTTAGATACGTACGTACTCCGCGGAGAAGCGGCGCGGAGAGCCGTTCGACCGCGAACATTGCGCATCGATAACGCTTATCTCGAAATAATCACAGCCGGCGATCCCCGAGGCGGCGACGACGCGCCTCGATGAACTAGTTCGAGGAGCGTCGGTTTTCGGAGTGGAAGCGGCGCGAAAAGCGTTTTATTTTCTCGGAAGTGTTTGTTTTCGTTTCTTTTTGTTTTTTTTTTTTAAAGTCGTCTTCTGCAAGTTCTCCGTGGTACTGCGCGCGCGCGCGCGCGTGTGTGTGTCATAAATATAAATTGCGCCTCTCTCCCTCCCGCGTTGAATAAAGAAAGATAACGACAGAAACCGCTCGTAAAGCAACGCGCCGATGAAATCGCCTCTCGTATAAAATAAAAGGGAACGGATTAACAGCCGTGAGCGTGGCGCATTGAATCGTGCACGATCGCGTCTAATCACGCGCCCTCCCACGTGCCCTTCGTGCGGCTCCGAGCCCTCGACGTGCGGCTCCTCGTAAGGATCATGTGTTCCTGCGAATTTAATTGTCTCCATAAATATTGGAGAGAGACCCTCTCTCTGCCCCACGCAGAGCCGCGCCGTCTGGAAATATACCCGGAATCTCCCGTCCCTGCTTCTTTTCGTTCATCTGTTTTCTCGCTCGTGTCGACTCGCCCGATTCTTTGTCTGGTTTTTTTTTCTTGCACCGATTACAGGGTAATAATGTACACGGATCTCCGCGTGGCGGATTGATTCATGGAAATTTTAGAAAAAGTGTTTCGAACAAAGTTTTTTTTTTTTTAAACAAAACTCGCGATACTTGGAACATCTCTAAACTCGTCGGTGAAAAGTTTGAAGTCGCGAAATTACGGACGAAACGCATGCACAAAAACACACTTGGTGCAATCTTAACATCATAAATATCCCGCGGCGCCTGGTGACCTCAACCTGGCGAAATTTTAGTGACTCCGCTTCCTCTCGTAAACGTCTGGTCTTTATGTCGTCCGTTCGCTCACCTCGACACGTCTGGTGTTTGCCAAACTCGTAGTATCCGTCACCGCGGGTCCGGTGCGCATCCCCAGTTGCTCCGCGAGGATTTAATTCACCGGACGATTCATTGACTTGCAAAGCGCCACGTTCGTCCCGCGATGTAAATCTTGCGAACGCCCGCAGCATCCGGTCCGCGCGTTTCTCCCGATTGGTGTTTCAACACGTGATTCGCATGTTGCAACGACATAAACCACTCTTGTGAATCATGCGAAATGACGAGTCGCAATTGATGAGCGCGAATATCCGGCTTGTTACGAAGCAGCCGTAAATTTCGTAATTTCGCGACTCCGAGAATTGTAAATCCGTTCGAAATAAACTCTTGAAATTTTTTATTACCTTGAAATCTTCAAGTAAACAGTTTCGAAGAAAGACAAAACAGTGTCGTTCTGAAAACGCCGTTTTTTTCTGTATCTTATTGGTAGACAGTCGCAATTTGCAAAATTTGCAAAATTGTATTGATAAACAAAATGAGACGATTTTTTATTTAGACAAAAAAAAACCGCGGCATTCGCACACAAGGTCTTTGTCTTGTGTGCGGTATAAAAATAAAATCTGGAGGTGCTGGGATTTGAACCCAGGACTTTCAGCATGCGAAGCAGACACTCTACCACTGAGTTACACCCCCATTTCCGTCTCGACGTAGCATCATATTAATCTTGTTCATCCAAATTACACTTTTGACATGTTTTCATTAAGTTGATGAAATATACTCGTCAAAAAAGTCATTAAGGAAAAATCGACGAACGTTTCTGTTGCAGAGAAGTGTGCGTAGACGAAGGCCAGCAACTGTCACTTACTCACGGATGTCAGTTTTACGAGGTGAGCGCCGCGGAGAGTCCCGCCGGAGCAGCATTGGCCTTTCAAGGGCTCTTGCGAGAAGCGAGATCGGTTCAGTTGCTGCGAGCGTTGCCGATCCGCAGAAAATTGGGCGTGCACTCGGTCTCGAAGGTTCTCGGGACGATTTTCGGCAAGAACAACACCAAGGACCGCAAAAAGAGGCCGTCTTTGAGCATATGACGCCTTCTACACGCCCTCCTCTTCAGCGGACAAGACGAGCCAAGCAAAAGAAACAACATCGTCATCCTCAACAGCAACGTCTACTCCAATCGCTGACAAGGTCCTCGGCAAGGACGAAAAATCTCCTTTCCTTGAAAAAAAAAAAAAAAAAAAGAAAAAAGAAGAGAGCAGCGTCCCTTGACGAGAGTGATTCTTTGCGAAATGCTTTTTTTTTTTGCAAGAAAAATGCATTTGCTGATGGCAATCAAGCTCCGAGGATGTGAGACTGATTTTCTGGCGTAGGATCGAAGATTTGACCGAGTACTTGAAGCGCTCCAAGATTCTGGCAGCCGTTGTAAGATCCAGTGTCCGAGAAGGTTTCACTTACTTGGAGGGCGCAATTTATCTTTGAAGAATAGAACTTCGTGTCGAAAAAAAAACTCTGTGTGTTCGAAGGATGTTTCACGCATATACAGTGTTCGCGTGTGCGATCCCGCGTCGGTGTTGCGGACATACGTTTTTTCGCAACCAAGAAAAAAACGCAGGATTGAAACGCAGGAAATTTTGTGATGTGTGCATAAGAAAAAAAGGTAGACTTTTTCTTTTTTTTTAAATATCGCGATGACACTTCACAGTGATTACAAGTGACTGGCAAGTTGTTCCTGAACGGTATAGTCCTTAAGACGATTTATCGAGGATGATCTTCCGGTTGCGGCAACCGGTTCTGCGAGTGCAAACTTTATTTGAGTACACAACACTTGCACATCACTCGAGATGCTTAAGTTATTACATTACTAATCCTAAACAGTATAAACTTTCGCGCCTCTCTCGCTGTACAAATCTGAAATTGAACAAATATTTTTTTCTAGTTCGAATTTGGACTCGCGTAAAATTGTTCTTAAGATTTTTTTTATTTATTTATTATTCGATTGTACAATCTTAAATTAAAAATATCAAATTAAAATTTACTTGTCTCTGCGAGAGAGCAAACGACACGTATTTTATGCTGTTTAGGATTTCTATATTTTTTTTCTTTCGAATATGTGCTTTCCCCTTCGGAACGAACAAATACCCGTGTGTCTTTCAAATTTTTTCAGATACTTCCATCAAAATGATAGATAAACATCGCAGTTGAATTCGATTTTTTGTTTGTACGTAACGTCGTGGTTGTTTCTCGAAGCAAACAAAGAAAAAACGGCTGGTTAAGAACAACGTTCAGATTTTTATCGCGCGAAATAATTCGATGACTTTGATGTTCCTAAAAACAAGTAGTGGTTAAGTCTAAACGGCAAATACGCCTCACATATTTTGCGAACTGTTTCGAATACTTAAGTAACTATATTAAGCAAAATCATTTAATAATAAGATGAGAGTGCGAACAATGTGTGAGTGCGCGAGTAATGAGTATTAATATATAGAACTCATTAAAAGTTTATTATTTATATATTTGCGATATAAAAAAAAAAAAACCGATTAAGAGAAATAGAAAACGCTTTGTAGATGGTTGATTGGTTCAAGATTTGCTGTTTTTGTTTTCTTTTTTGAAGAGCAAACAATTTGAAAAACAACTTTCAATGAGTTATATATATTATTAATGATCGTTTGTGAATGTTTACCGCATGTATTTTGTCGATGATGATCTGTCATCATCGACGGGTCTCGTTTTTTTTTTTATTCTATCGTAGAAAGTGTTGAGATGCGGCTTTTTGCTAAGCTCTATAATCTCTCGCGTGAATCTTCTTTTTTTTTCTTAACGACAAGCATGGAGTCTACGATCGACTGTTTTTTTTTTTTTTTTTTTCAAGCAAGTTGTTATTACAACTTTCAAATTTTGCTTTTTGTTACAAAGTCTGTTGCACGACCGACTTTTTCTGCCAGCAGCTGACACGTGCTTGTTGATGTCGGCGTTAAACTGTTTTTTCAATGCTCGAAAAAAAAACAGATAGCCGACGAGTAACATACGATCTTTTTAACGCGTTGGTATCTAACAGTAAAAAAAAATGCGTGAAAAACAGGCTTTCAAAATTTTTTTCGAATAATGAAAGATTGATCGAAATCTATGTGTTTTTTTTTTTAAATATTTAATACATTCCATTTGAAATCGATGCGAAATTTAATTTCCAATGTGTGCGAGTGTATAATTTGATTTTTAAGTGGATGTCGATCGCTGTATTCGAAGTGCTAGTCACTTGTTATACCGAGAGAAGACAATAAATAAAAGAGCGTCCTTTTTGTTAAAAACCTCGTCAAGTTGAATCTCCATTGTCTATGATCTAATCGTCCTACCATCCTGTCGTCTACTTCATGAATCATCGATAGTCCACACACGACGAAATTATTTCATCACTTTTCAGAGAACAATATTTTTTAACAAATTGTATCGATACACATAGTTTTTCAATATTTTTCGATTTCTTTTCTGATTGTTCACATTTTAATTATTATTTACATCTAAGGAGGATTATTATTTTCCATGTGTACCGACGAATAAGACGTCGTCAAGATAATCGTTAAGTTTTTGCGAAAACTTGGAACTGTCTCTCTCGTAAATTGCAAACAAATTTAGCGGGGCTTCGTTAAGTGAATTTGCTGGCCGAATAACTAGAGGATTCGGGCCAAGGTTCCGAAACATGTGTTCGCAGATCTCGCTCGGACCGCAATACCGAAATAAAATAGCTCCTCCCCCGGAGGGCTCTCGATGAATGCATTCCCTCGCGATGACGGCACGATCGCCGCCCGCCATGCACGGAAAAATGCAAAAAGAAAAGGACAGGAAACAACAGGCTCGAACCAACGAAAATAAGGGATTGGATATCTCGCGAACGAGCGAGCTGTCCACAACTCTTAAATTTCACGACAATAAAAACCGCGATAAGTATCTATAATTTTTTTCTAATATTATTAAATCAAACTATTCTGAGAGAGAAAAAATGAGAGAGAAACAGAGAGACGCTCTGGATAAATACAAATAATTACCTATATAATTCTTAAATACTTTTTTAAATACTTTTCAAATACTTTTCTCTCTCAAAAGATCTCGTATACGTGTGTGAGATCTTATTAAAATTTTTTTCACACCGATCGCTTTACGCTCTGCGCGTTTGTCGCGTACGCCGACACGCGAGCAACATTACCGAAGTGACAGCCACGGCCGCGCCGAGGGTTGAAAACCTCGGGTCGGGTTTAAGATTTCCGAGCGCGCGGCGCTCGTCGCGAGTCATCTAAGTTGTCTAAGCACTAGAGAGAATTCCCCGTAGGCTGCGCGCCTCTCATATTACCTCCGCGTCCTTTACATCCGCGACCCTCCGGAGATACCTCCGCCCCCGCCGTACACCTCGTCCACGTTCTTACCGTCTTCTCGTAAGACAAACGATCCGGCCGCGCGGGTAAAACGATGCCCCGATGTCGTCGATTTATCGCGCGGCGATGTCGCGACGCGTGGGGACTATGTCGCTCGAGGACTATATTGGTTCGCCCCGAGCCCGGATAATTCCAATTTGCGTATTTCACCCGCGGGAAATCGAAACCACAAGAGAGCTTGAAACTCTCTCTCTCTCTCTCTCTCTCTCTCTCTCTCTCTTCTTTCTCTCTTTTCGTGCGAGCGAGCGCGCGCGACTCCGGAATGAAACCGATTCTATTACATTCAAAACACACGGATTTGTTTTATCGCGCATATTGCGTTCTCATTTTCTAAATATCGTAAAGTCGTTTTTACGATCTCGCGCGACACGTCGCGCGGAATGAGTATTTTTAAGAAAACTTGTCTCTCAAATAAAATAATAATTCTGGTTCTCGAAACTTTCGCCAAGATTGTTTTTTTTTTGTTTTTTGTGTTTTTTTTTTATTTACATTCTAGGCACGCACAATGAATTATATCTTATGATAATTCTATAAATTATATCGCGACTTGCGCGATTACGAAGAGCATCGAAAATTTCGCGCGCGTCTTGAACATATCAATTTCCAATTAATCCTTAAATGTTAATTGGCGAGTCGTATAAAAGCGGATCAGGAAAATACCGAATTGCTCAGATTAAAACGTTTGCGTACATACATACATACATACATACAACCGTGTTCTATTTGAGTAGGCGAGACTTCGCGAGGCAGGCAGACAGGCAGGCAGGCGTGCACGCGCGCGCGGGTGGCGTTGCTCGCTAACGAGCGCAATTTAATCCGGCGCGGCTCGCGATATCGCCGATAACGATATCCCGGGCTTATCTCGCGCGGAGAACTGCCGGTAGCGCAATTCTCGCAGCACACAGGCAGTGCGCGCGGTCGGGCGCGCGAAAAATTAACGGGTCGTGCGCGACTTTTCATCGCTTTAATCAGCCCGGCTCTCTCGTCCGCTTTCGTCTCGGCTCGCTCGGTTCCCACTTAATTAATGGCGCCATTGGCGACAATTAGAAATTCAGATTCGTCCGAGCATGAGGCTCGCTCGGTTGCGCGCGCGCGCGCCCGCGAGGGGGCCGACAATGACCACCTGCCGATCGCGATCCCGCAGGCCGACTTTCGACAGGGCACGATAACAGGGAACGGAGATCGAGAGGGACACGTAGAGGGAGGGAGAGAACGGAAAAGAGAAACACACAGAAGAGAGAATCGCGACTCGCTATCGGCAAAAGGCGAAAGCGGACGGTTTCCACCGGTGTTATCCGACTCGTGACGGTGAAAACGATGCTTAGTCGTTGCGTCCCTCTCGCACGTTAAGAGATCCCGTCGTGTCGTCGGGAATAAATCCGTTCTATGGATGGTGTGCGCGCGGTGCAGACGTCCGGCTCTTGTTTCACCGGCGGGCCGGCGATACCGGTGAATCTCGCAGCAGATAAAGTTGCTTTCGCCGAAAGATATCGAGGTTAAGGTGTGTGTTAGTCTCTTAGAGACGTGCTTCTACCTGCTGTGGAACTAATATACGTGGAATTATACGGAGCGAGCGAGCGAGCGAGCGAGAAAGAGAGAAAGAAAACAACTCGCGCGTGTGTTAAATTATGATCTCGAATTATATCTCCATATCCAGTTATATCTATCTTAAGTAATTGTGAAAACGCATGTAACGCGAGAATTAGATGACCATATTTAAGCGCGCTAAATGTCGCTAGTCCTCGCGCCTTACGTAAGTTCTCAGTTTCTGCGCGCAACCCTTTACGTAAGCCCCATCTTTGTGTGTAAAGGGT